ACTCAGATAAAATCAACTCAGTTGTCCCAACAATTGGGCAAAGTGCTGATTTTTTGAGATGATGATGATGACCACGATAATAAAGATAATGTTCAATCTAGATTAATTTTGTATTCAAACTAAAAATTTCACATGAAGAAAATGAAATTTGTAGTTTAAATAGTTAATATTTTTATTAGTTGAGGTGAAATTTTTTATAATAATAATAATAGTGATAATTTTAGTGGGGTGAGAAATGAGTGGTATATATTTACAAACAAATAAGAAGGTTCTTAATTCAAGTGTGGCTTTGCAAGCCAAGCAAATTCCATCGGTGGAGAATATTCAAGAATTATTGTAATAGAGAAGAAACAAAAATGATTCTCACCCATGGATAAGACCAAGGATATTTGCATTAAAAATGTATAAATAGGATGAAAAGATAAGCTTTTGCCCATCCTTGTCATGACTCGATGATTGCCACCCACTTTTAGCCCTAGGCTTCCATGCTCCTCCAGCACAGGAGTAGTTTTCATTTTTATTTATTTTGGTGTTTAAGGAAATTTCTGTTATTTATAGTAAATAAGTAAATAAATAATAGATTTTTAAAATAAGAAATTCTAGAAGAGAATACTTATTTTATTTATTAATTTATTTTTCTACATAACAAATGCATAATTTGAAAGAATAGATAAACAGTAGCAAGGTAAGGACCAATTCTCACGACAGCTCTACGGTAGTCTAGAAGATGACTCCCAAAGGGCACAGGTTGTGTATAGGATTCTGGATTTCGACTGCCTATGACACAATCAAAGATAAAATGTGATCGACAACAGTTTGACTGAAATTAATAGTTTAACTGAATTAATATGCAAAGCTAAACAGTTAAGAAAAGAATATTGAAAGTTGAAAAAGAAAGCAAAAGATAACTTCTTAATAACCTTTGCCGTACTTGTATTCCATTATTAAGATGTCTGCAACTGCAAGGATGGATAACTTTACAAGAAGCACATGAATACCCTCATCCATAAAGCAAAGCAAAGATTAAAACAAAAATGAAACTCTAATCACTACAGCTGAAAAACCCACTCAGAAGGCAAATATTACACATAAACTCAATCTGCCCTATGAAGATTCTCAGATCAGTTCGCCATTCAGACACCGATGCTCCACAGAGTCATAGATCTTTACTTCCCACTAAATGGAATATGTAAATCCTACATTGTAAGAAATAAGTTTGTCTCACATGAACTGCAGTGTCAGTGCCTGAAATTCCCACATCTTTCCTAACTTGCTGGTGCGGAAGAGACGGCTGTTGTAATTGCATCTTCAAGCCTAACTCTTCCACCCTTGGAACCATCGGAGGCAGAACTAGATCTTTCCACAAGAGTGCCTTGTTTGCCACCATCATCCAAGCGGACAACTTGAGAAAAACTCTTAGACATATGCTTGATGAAATCATTCGGTAAAGTAACATTATTGTTTCTATGCTCATTTTCTCCTACAATCCCTACAGACATCAGACCAACTTGTTGTCTAGCCTTGCGTTCTTCCATAACTTTCTGTCGGCCCTCGTAGAAGTCAAAGTCATCTAGGATAGACATATCAGCTTCATAGTTCTTAAAAATTTTTAACATTTCAATTCCCTGGTCCAATTTCACCTGCAAAATGGGATGTTAAACCTTAGAAAAAAGGGAACATGATAATTGTTTAGGACTAAAAACTATTGCATTCTTTACATCTAATGATAAAACAATTCAAACAATAAAGCCAATCAGCCCAGAGCAGAAGCTTTAACTAAACAGTTAATGACTAAGCTCCTCCTAATTCCATAGCTGCTAAGCTAAAAGGTAGTGCTACCTATTAAAATATCAAGCTATATTCTGATATGTAATTTGTCATTTCTTAAGGAAATCAAAGAGAATTCCTACCTCCTGAGTGTCTCGACTGTTAGTGACTGGCTTATTGTCGTTGTTTTCTAGCACAATATGACGGAACTGACTATTGGGAACATCTTTGATAATATGCCACTTAACAGGGAATTGCCCACTCCACTTATCTTGTTGCCAGTAATCCACACTCTTTTCAAAGTCAACAGGTCCAACCATTTCAGCAACCCCACAGAACTGAGCACTTGCATTCACCTGCATAAATTGTGTAACACATTCAAGCAAGTATAGAAATAATGAGACTGAAAGTATTAGATGCATTGTTAAGAACTACAAATTTGTTCACTGCTACACGAGAATATAACATGTAATCATATTTCAAAAGTTAGCAAAAGGCCCTAGTTTAACTTATTCATGCCCAAGGGACGTTAGCATCCTTATATTATATATTGCTTTAGGATAACATATATACCGAAAAGAAGAGAAACACTGGGCACGAGTCTTGCTTCTCCTTGGCTTCATGATAAGCAGCATCTAATTTTTTGTTCCCATTAGGTGTACTTGCCCATACACCATATTTGATACTCTTGTGAACATTATCCTCACTGTATGACTTGATGATGAAGAATTTAGCATCTTGGTAATCAGTCACAAAATCAAGTCTGTTGTATGACTCATCATAGATCTTTGCAGTAGCTTTGTTATTTTTGTCATTATCAGAAGAATTTTGTTCAGCTGTGATCAGATTCTTAGGTTTTAAGGCCCTAGGTCCTCGATTTTGCTCGCTAAGGATATCAAGAGTACCGTTACAACCACAAAGAGAGACACTACTGCCCCTCCCACGTCGACTGTTACTGTCAAGAGAAAGCCAGCCCCGACCATTTGCTCCCAAACTTGGAAGGGTTGCACTTCCAAGACTATGGCCCTGACTGAGACCAGTGTGTAAGTAGCCACTGTTGAAGGAGTTTGAACCAGATCCCAACCCATAAAATGACCTTTGCTGCTGAGATGCCTGGAAAAGAAATTTAGTCAGCATTAGTACTGAAATCCACTTAACATGCAAAAATGACAACGTAAGAAACTCATTTTTCCCATTGAAGGTCACTAAAAGAAAGGCTTAGGTAACACAAATATGAAGGATTAACTAAGGTAAGCCATGACTAGTAACCCCATTGAGAACAAACCAAGGTAGTACAAATCTTGTGGCTAAGAATGATACAGTTAAGAACTCCAGCATGATTACATATTTACATCATGGTTTTAAATTTAAAATCTCATTTTAAAGTGCATATATTCATTGCCCATTAACAAATCTCATTTACCATAAAGATTTTTGATAGACGGTAAAAAGTTAAACAAGTATGATCTTAATAAGTGACCTTCCTCGAGTGGAGACGAGAAGAAAAATGTACTGAATATCTGCTATGGGCTTTGCCTGGTATAGTTCATGCACTAATAAACTAACGTGCTACCAAGAGAAGCAAGAACAAACACTCAATACAGGATTACAACAAAGGTCCAAGAAATAGGCCCTACAGTTGCAATATTGATTGGGTAACTAAGCTTCTGATAAATTGCCATATGAAATTTTGAGTAGAAACATTAGAGTAAAGAAAGTATTCTGCAACTAGAATTTCTGTTTGGCAGACTTGAATGATAGATAAGGGAACATTAGAAAAGGCAATATAGCTTTTCTTCAGCTTTAGGCAATCAACCCAAAAGGTAGCTGAAAATTTTCAAAAGGCGTGTAAGCAGATATCCATACCATTGGAACATTCTGACCAAATGAGCCAATTGGGCTAATTGTCTGGGGAGATATTGCTGGCGGCGTAGGAGCCAAAGATCTTTGTCTGCTGGAAGGCTTTGACCAATCTGACCAAATTCCTCCAGGACTCAATCCATCAAATCCTTGCTGCAAATCATTAAATCCAGGAGAACCATGATTTCCAGGAAAATTGGCTCTGCCAAAAGATCCCAATGGAGAGTGATAACTGGGCCTTGGTCCAAAAAGCATGTTATCACCTTGGTGGTCAACATGAACTAAGGTAGTTAACTCTGGTTGTGAAACTGGAGGTGGTGAAGCAATATAAGGCATGCTATGAGGAACTAGCTGCGGGTAATAAGGTGGCCCAGAGAAAGGAAACTGCTGTGGGGAATACAATTGTGGATCGCCACCCACAGTAGGCAAAGGAGTTGTGACTGGAGAATAGGGTCCATAAGGCATTTGAGGATTGTAGCCATATCCAGTGTGGAACACAAGTGATGAATTGTCGTTATAAACACCCTAAAAAAGATCACACATCAGACCAAAGAAACTGCAAGTTTGAACCTTCACAGAAACCTACAAAGATGGGAGGAGAGATTCTCACAGGAGATCTGATTTCCAGTCCCTCAGGGTTGACATATGGAGCGTATTCATCCCAGTCAGTTGTCATATTGTCATAGCCTGAATCACAAACGAGAGAAGAAGTCCCTTGGTTAATTTGTAGAATAATAAGGTACACTACAAACAAAACATTGTAACACAATTCAGCTAGTTTTGACCACCAATATCTAGTGCCGATAAACAATGCATGTGTTCTAATGAAGAGATCCTAGAAGATATCTTCCATCAGTTCCACAAATAAACGATGCTCCTCGTGACACAGTCTATCAAAACCCAAAAAAAAAAAAATAAAACATTGTATTCACCTAACAAAAAAATCATATGATTGGATCATTTTAGCTAAGCAAGGAAGTCTCAAAATCACATGAATAAAAAATCTACAGATTTCTTCACATGTTATTGAACAAATTCACAAATACACTAATTATTGTAGTGCTATGACTTTTAACTTCTTAACACAATAGAATTGGAAAACAAACCTCTATAATAGAAGCCCTGTGCCTGAGGAGCATAGATATTTGGTGAGTAAACACTACGATCTCCAGCTGAACCAAAAGATCCAGACTGAATTGTGCTGTCTCTTGGATGACCTATTGTGGCAGCATCCTGAGAAGAATTGGGAGAAATTGATGTATCATTTTTGGTCGAAAGAGACTGCTACAAGATTTAAAAGAATGAAATTCTTAGTAAGACATCCATATTGAAAAAATTGTCAAAATCAAGGAAATTGCAATGAATCCATGTATACCTGCTCCTTCATGTTATCTGCATCAACATGTTCCTCTTCTGCATCCATGATCAGTATGCTCAGTGACTTAGTAGAGTCTTAGAAACACATGTAGTACAAATTATTGACCAACCAAAGCTAAATTCGGGCTTAGGAAAACTCGAAGATATGAATATGTGCGCACAAATCCACACGTGCACACCTATGCACACATTATAAATAGAGAACATGAATAAATTTTAACAGATCAATAAGTTTAGTATTATTTGCTTATCTATAGAATGATGAGACCATAATGACAAGGCAAAAGGCAAATGCACATACACAGTACTATCAATGAATGACCACTCATTAATGCACAAAATCCATGCATATTTTATTTTGAGAAACAAAGACACCTCCTTGAAGAAAAAATTGTGCAGATAATTTATAAATTTCTCTTGGTGCGGCAGAAAAAGATAAAATAAAAGAAATTTTGATTCTATAAAAACATTGATTCACAACCCTCCAGCTGGCTCAAATTACCACAATAAGGAAGAAAGGAAAGCAGCTAAAAAGAAAAAGACACAGTTTTTTGACATAATGCAAGCTGTTCATCAATAAATTGCTCAGGCAGAATGCAGATCACTAACATTCTTTGATTTTCCTTTCAAAACTTGAAAATTTGCATCCTTGGCTCCACCCCCATCAATTTTTGGTCACTAAACCCCATCACTAAAGCTAAATCTTATACAGAATAATTGAATTTCAGAATTCCTGTTAGCAATACCCTGGATCCCAGATCCTAACATAAGATCAAGGTCTGTAAAACATGAAATATATCAAGAAAACAACTTCTTCTCAGCAACAAAAACACAACAGATCCCATTCACACCTACCACAAACATCCCCCCAAAATATAAAAACAATTCAGAAACAGGGATACAATCAAAGGTTACCCAGGTGCTGTAATTAACCAATGAAATTGGATAAACAATCACACAAAGAAAACGGTAGAGACCCATCAAGATCTTCACTTTTAGAAGACAAACCCATATCTATATAAATATATGATGAGCAAAGATGAATTTATATATATGTGGGGTAGTTGACGTACCAGATGTACGATCTGGGGTTGCCGCCATGAATCTCCAAAGATAGAAAGATACCTAGAAAACTGAACTGACACACAGGAATCTAAGCAAAAGGGGAAAGAAGAGAATCTGTCTATATCTATAGATATGAATGAATCATTATTATGATCTCAAGAAGAAAAACGAAAGAAATCTCCCTGCAGGCTTCTGTACCCTGGGAGAAGATAGATGAATCTTTCTTTAATAGTGAAAGTGAAAAAAAAAAAAAAAAGTAGAAATTGAAGCAGTGACGAAATTGGTAATAAGAAAACTAGTGGGACTTTAGATTCTGGAAGCGTTTCTAAATTGGCTGTTTTTAAAGGTTTATTTTAAAAGTGAAAAAATATTTTATAGTGGAATCATTTTAGATCATAAAAATTTAACTATTTGATGGAGAGGCCTCATAATCATAATTTAAATTATATCAAATTATATATAATACTTTCTGGTTCATTTTAATATTAAAGTTATTTCCTTATTTAACAGTT